AAAAGTCTTGAATTTAACTTGCCTTATGCTGTAGGAACCCTGGTAATTATTTTCTATCTAAAAAGGTGGCATCAGTGCAGTAGGCAGATAGAGATAAGAGTTTGCCAATCTCTGACCATATCTCTTCACATGTGATATGTCAGATTCAGTGAGGTGAGCAATCTATCACCCATAATAATGACATGACTACACACAGCTTCATATCTTCTACAACTTCCCTGCTTATTTAATGATGTGCATGAAGGCTCCCTGTGTTCAACACACAGCTGTCCAACTCATACTACTACTCATACAACAAGGGATGGTTTGTCTTGCCTCCCTGTTACATCAAAGCTGCCCTCATGGCTAACCACTTCTGGAGGGGATCAAATAAAAGCCCACCTGGCTGTCTCGGTTTGTTGCCACCCGGCCCCCATCACCATCTCTACAACCTGTCTTTGGTCCTTCAAAGGATCCAATGGACTTTGGTATATTTGAAATGACCCATATTGTTTCCATCTATCTCAATAGTCTCTCTCAGAGCAGATGTGAGTTTTATATGAAAACACTGAACTGTCCGTTTTTTATTTCCATTGTTGCTAAAGAAGTCAGTCTTTATTGGTTATCCAGACTTTTTGAAGCCATTTCAAAGTTTTTCTATAAACAAAATAAATTTCAATTCCTTTTTTATATATTTATGAGAAATATTTTGTTGTCACAGCTTGAGGAAAGAGACAATTCTAGATTTAATCTTAAAGACACAATATTTAGTATGCAATCTTTAACCTATCTTCCCTAAATGTGGAAATAAACGTAACCATAAAAGTACTGAATATACTATTGTTACCAACAAAAGTCTCAAAGAGTAAATGAGCTGAAATTTCTTCACAATAAGCCCTCGTCTTGGCTTTGTTTGATTGCCATGTTTCACGGTGACTGAAGAAAGTATGTTATTTTACTTTTACTTAACTTGGTAAACGAAGAAAGTACTGATAGCTAAAGGCAAAAGTGAATTATTGCTATTGTACCATAACTCTACTCATCCAATTGTGCTATTAGCGAAAACAGTGATGTTCCTGACAATGGACGAAATTTTGATTTCAGAAGTGGGGGGGTGACGCATTTTTTAATATAACTGACTTAAGCGTGTTTGACCTTCAATGACAGACCCGATTCAGTGGCGCATCAGATGTTTGTAAAGTGAGCTTCTCATGAGTGACAGCGATGACAGCCAATCACACAAGAAAAGACGGTGGGCCAATCAGGAGCTTGTGGGCGGTCTAAATGCAGGGAAGCGGGCTTCGGCTTGAGGTCTGGTTTTCCGCTTGGTCCTAGTGCTCAACGATAGTCTGTGTATTGTAGTTTAACATTGTCTTTGGACAGTAAAAAGTGCAAGGGAACAAAACGGACGTTTGAAAAAGTGCAGGGGACATGCCCCCTCCAAAATTACATCCATGTTTCTGACGCCATCTAGCCCCTAATTTGTCAACAGTTGTAGTACTGTTCTTACCTCATTTGGTCACTCATGGGCCAAAGAGCACCATCACCTAAACACCTTCAAGTTACGGCTTGAGCGATTCTGAGAAAGCAGGTAGTGTGTCTGGATCCCAATACATACCCCACAAAAGCTGGTATCAAAAGATGAAAAATATCTGATAGATTTTATTTTAGTTTTTTAAAGAACTAAGTTGGAACTGGAGTTAAGGGATGCATTATTGTTCCGTTGATCATAGCTCCCAGATTTCCAGTTTATTGAGCTCAGGAATTCTTCATATTGCTGCTTAAATCCTTATCTTGTGCATTTCAATGAGATGTTTCATAGATTTCACTACAGACTGTTTGAGCAGCAAGTATTAGATAGCAACTAGTCAGGTAGTCCACATCACTAGATTATTTGCTCATAGTTTTACCGCCCAACTTAAAAACAGTAAATACTGGCTTATTAACAAAAAAAAGATATGAAGTTCAACACTTAAGTGCATTTGTTCAGAGCAGAAGGAGATTTGCAATATAGTAGCAGGGTGCATGTTAGCTCTAAGTGGATTTTCATATTGGATTTCAGGGAAGCCCATTCTCTCATAAACTTGGAGGACTCCCACCGGAGGACTTCAGGCAGATGATAATGCTTGTTTTCGATGTTAATGCCAAAAACAGACACAATCATAGAGACAGATTTACTCACAGCAACCGCAAGCACCTTGCCAAGGTTGTGGTAAAAGGACTAGATATACGATTACACACACAGGTGCATATCTGGTTGTATTAGTGTGTTTAAAAGTGTGTACAGCAAACCGCAGCAGGAGGGCTAAATCCTCATTTCTGTAAGAGGCTTCCCTAACGCAGCGCTGACCCAATCCCTGACCTCTCCCACCCTGAATCTGACAAGGCCTGATCAGTCTCATATTTCATCTAGCAGAGGGCGAGAGCAGGAGACTCGACTCACACACACAGACACGGCACACATTTTTCAGGAACTTTCCCCCCCATCTGTCTATGCCTCTACCCTTTTTTTCCTCCCCCTGCTCTGGGGAAGCCTGATCATTACTCAGTCGGTATAAAAACTTACAAATGCATGCTCACACCGCAGGACGGCTGTGTGGCAGCGGAACGTGGACTGGATCCTTGGCCTTGCCCACATCCAAGTGAGGCAGGGCCATAATGATAGGCCATATTGGTAATGCCTATGTAGCCAGTTTCATGTCTTTCTTTTTTCTTTTCTTTTTTACATCTTGTCATTTCAACCACTCAAGATTCATTTGCAAAATTCAAGTCTGTATTTAAACTTCCACATCGTACTAGCTTGATAAAAGGTTCAACTCTAGTAGCTAAAGCTAAGACTAAATAAAAATAATCAAAGCCTGCATTAATAGCCAGTACTGTATACATTGTTTTATCATGTTTCATTTTGGGGTTTTTTGCAGCAATGATTGAACAAGATCTGCAAACATCATACATTAGAATGATGCTGATTTTTTTAATTACTATTATTCAGGACTAATGTACTTGAGCAAATGTGAATTTGTAAATATGGATTATTTTCTTGACAGTGAATCCTATTAGATGGTTCAATACTGTTGATTAAAGAGTGCTATTTAAAACATTTTGGATAGATGATCCAAAATGATCCAAAAGAAATTAGTCTAAATAATATAAGTGATCTTATATTACTAAGATTGGACGGGTTTATCACTGGAACAGGGGTTGTGAAAAGAACATGTTGCTAAATCAGTTGGGCAGTTTTATTTTTATGCCCAAGTAAGATCTATTCAAAGGGAACTATTAGGTGTATGCTTAGAGTTTAGAATTAAAATCCAGCTGGAGTTAAAATAATTTAGATCAAACAGGCCCATGTTATTAGTAGTCCTATGCTAAATGTGAGAGGCTACATGAAGCATGGTCTTCTTTTTAAACCCCTCTGACCTATGATCCAGATACGACTCATCAATGTCACCAACCTCCTCACCAATAAGAGTTTTGCTCGTAAATCTAAGCAGTTCTTTTTGTCTCTCAGCTCCGACGCTACTTCCAACCACTGCAGTCCCAAGCACCACCCCTTCAGACGAGTGTGACGACGACCAGGCGAGCTGCCACAGCGGCACAGGTGATGACTACGACGTGACAGGTGCTAACATCGCCTTCATGAGACTGCGTCCAAACTCCCCCACCCTCCTGTTGCTCCCCCCCGCCCCTCTGCCTTGTTTTGTCATACTCATTCTGCTTCCCCCTCTATGTAATGCCACCAATTTTTCTCAGCGCAGGCAATCTGGCATCTCTCGTGCACGCTCGCAAGCATGCATGCATGCATCCACATGTGAGCTGGCACTGATACAGCTCTAATTAGCCGCACCTTTAGTTCCCACCTCCCTTGTTGGCCTTCTTATCTCCACCTCCTGGAAACTCACTGGGGAGAGCCGATCCACACACACCTGCCTCTGCAGCAGAGCATTACCTCTCTCTGTCATTACCTCTCTCGGATGCCTTGTCCTTTTGGCCTCTTTTCCCACTAACCCAGTAACTCAATGAGCCTTCACCACTGTAGATACTCCCCATTAACCAGCAGTCTCCAATGAGGAGCAGGGCACTGTCTCAGTCTTACGCAAAAATATGAGAAAATGTATTTTGGAGATTATGAAAGGAAAGTGGCATGAGCTGTTTAGTTAATTCTACATGGCATGAATCTCTAAAAAGGAGCCAATGTGTGTAGAAGGCTAACTGTGCTATTTCACCATGCTTTCACAGGTGGTTCCATAATGCCTGAGACCACAACCTCAGAAGTGGACACCATTCCAGGTGAGTTTTTTAAAAGCAGAATTCCCCTACAATTCACAAACCAGTGCTACTCTTGACCTGCTGAAGAGTCATTTCAAACACACGTCATAAAGAAGCACACCTTATGTAATGAATGCCGGTCCTCTCTCCTCTTCATATTTATCTGTCATTAAAGATAATGACATGGCCCGGAGAGGCTCCTGCTGACACAGTGAGAGAGGTTGCATGATCTGATGCTAGCGGATGATTAGCACTGGTGCTCTGCTGCTGCCTCCTCAGCATAATCACTAATCACCGGGCCAACACTGACGCACACAACAACGAGCCGGTGCTAAAAGCCGGAAAGCACAATGCAGATGACCAGAGGAAATTAGTTGGACTCTGGGGCCAAGCACACGTAGCGGTGTCTACTATAGCACGCTGATGAGGCAGGAGCCAGCTGAGTGAAGGTACCCCCTAGTCTGACCTTGGCTAATGGGCCGTAGGCTCCACCCCTTCCTATTTACTCAGTCAGCTGCCTTCATGGTCTGTCTGCAGTCTGCTGGGGTCTCAGCTATCCTAATGGATGAGAAATGATGTCTATTGTGTGTTTACCTTAAACTCAACCTTGTTTTATTTAAGTAAAGGTTTTTAAAGAATCAATCCACTAATGTGTACAGTTGTGTGTGCAAAATTTTGTTAAAGGCTTTATACACCTCAAACTTTTCTCTGCTTTGTTAAGAGATTTTATGTCCACCTGTGTGTTTTTTGACATAGTATAAAAGTAGGTATTTGGGAACAAATATCATGAAGATCAAGAAACACCAACGGGTTAAGGATAAAGCTGTGGAGAAGTTTAAAGCAGGGTTCAGTTGTACAACAGTTGCTCAAGATTTAGAAATTTTTTGGAGCACTACTTGAAAAAGACAAGACCCTGCACCTAAAATGAGAGGATTATGGAAAGAAAGTTAATCAAATTAGCAAATCAATACATTCACAGATTAGGGAAATATGTTTATAGGACTGCTCTTAGCATTTTTAATGTCAAAATATGACTCTGGCAAAGAGAAACGGTGAGAAAGCTGAATAACAGAAGTCCTGTTTGCTGTTTGTCACAAGAAAGGCAAAAATATAGAGGAAGTCCCCTGGACCAGGCAAGATAACCAACATTTATTTTTATAACCTATCTGCAAAGCTCTGTGTGTGAACTTTGAAGGATGTAACCATAGCATTATATATATTCACCCTCTTGCTTTTCTTCATTCGCTAAGGGCAGGGAAGCCATTTTACCTAAGATTAGGAGAAGAGGCCCCAAATAAACTAGCCTCGTGAGACCATCCTGATCTCGCGACCTTTCAAGATTTCACTCGCTAATCAGTCTGGAGACTCTCCGTTGAAGAAAATTTGGAGCCGTTCACCAAACGAACGTCCAATCAGCGTTGGCTTTGAGGCGGGTT